GTGCTGACTTTCCCAATAGTCATCATTCTGAATAGGAGTTGTTGACCCAATGTCCACATCCTCATCTTCTTCATCAATTTATTCAAGGTCTACCTCTTCAGCTATGAACTGAGGCATGGGCGATGATACCAGTGGAGAAGGGATATTATCCACTTCAATTTCTTCATCCAACTGCCCTGAAGAAGCAGCAAAAGGATTTTCTTCATCACTGTCATCTGGAATGACATATTCCTCACCAAAGGGAATGATCTGCTTTGATGGCATGCTTGAAATCGGAACAACGTCAATTGGGTTTGCGAATGAGCTCGTCAAAGTCTTCACTTTCTTAGGAGTTGAAGACTCTGAAGTCATAGATGCTTTCCCTTTCTTCACTGCTGCCTTCTCTGCAGCTTTGCTCTTCTTCGCTTCTGATACAGAAAGAAGGTTGATATCTCTCATCTATGATGACTTTGCAGGAGGAGTAGATGAAATATGTTCAATTTCTTCAGGCGTAACTGATGCATTTGCCCTGGCATGTTCAGTTTCTTCAGGCATAGCAAAAGCTTTAGCTTGCCTGGATTGTTCTTCAGGCGCAACATTGGAGGTTGCCCTGACATTTTCTTTAGAGGCTGGAATTTCTTCAGCAGCCCTAGTACTTTCAGAATCATCAACAGTCTGATTATCGTCAGTTGTGCTTGCATGTTCTTCAGTAGGCCGAGAAGATGTCTCGGCCTGAGGATTTTCTTGTTGCGATGAAGCAACAACATTTGGTGTGAATTCCTTTGCCATTTTGACGAATCTGACTTTGTCTCCAAGCCATTCTGCGTGATATGCGTCAAATTCATCACTAAGTGCTTTGATTTCAGTCTGCATAGTCATAAGTTCTTCAGGAGATATTTTCACAACATTTTTCTTTAGAAAACATTCTTTCTTGTACTGAGCCTTCTTCACTTGAGCCTTCTCAAATTTCCATTTTTCTTCGCCTATGAAGGTCGTCAACATATGAGTCTGACCAGGAGTGAGGTTGAAGTAAGGTAAAGGAGTGTTAGGGTCCTTGTGCCATAAATCAATGAAATCAAGGATCAACTTTGGATCCAGCAGAAGTGGCACTTCATTGCCTTTGGCACTAGTGGCCCTAGCTTGTCTATCTCTGATGAGTTCAGCTAATTCTTCATCATCAGCTTCATCGTCGCTTGACAGAACTTGAAAGGCAACCAGCTTCTTGTGAGGACTTGGCCTTGAGCCGCGTCCAACAACAACCTTTTTCTTCAGCAAGGTTGGACCAATTGAAGAATGAGGAGTAGCAGAGGAACTTGCAGAAGCTCCTCAAGCAATTGAGATTCCAGTCATCCTTTGGCACGTGGCAAGATGCACATGCACTGAGGACTTTGCAGGAGCAGCTGAGGATTTGGCAACCGAGGGAATTGGAGCTGCTTTGGAAGATGTTGCTTGAGGAATAGGCCATGAGGGCTTTGAAGAGTTTGGCCGTGAGGGCATTGCAGCTGAGGAACTTGCCTTCACAGCTGGTTTCTTTGGCATAGCCTTCTTAGGCTTGCTAGCAGAGGCCTCAGCAGCAGCAACAACAAAATCTCCATTGAATTTCTTCACTGCTTCTTTTGCCATTTTGGCCAGCTTGGCCTGTCGCTTGGCCCATTCCTTGGGAAATTCCTCACCTCTTCTGATGCTAGAGGTATCAACTTCTTGGCTTGGAACCAATGGAGGTCTTGGGCATACTCCCTTCATTCTCTAGTCCATCTCCTCTCTACTTCTGATTGCGCAATTTACGCTCATTCTTCATCTCTTTGCCATGAGTGGCTTCATTAGGAGTACAGTACCCTACATAGATATATTCAGGGATTTCAAAAGTAGTATTCACTTCTGGTTTCTTTCCTTCCTTCTGAGGTCTTTTATCGTCAGGCATTCTCTTCACTTGAGGATTTTGAACAATCAATTTTTTTGAAGAGGTATGCAACTTGAGAACCTAGAGATTTAGCAGTGGACATGTGTACCTGTGAACAGAGTATAGGTGCGAAGAATTTGGAGAGGTCATATGCGTTCTCATAAGTTTTTAAAAAGAATCAAGTTTGAGGAATTTGACCAGGAGTGTCTTGAGGAATTTCACTAAGCGTTCTTGACTTAGGTTCTAGAGTTGTATAGATTGAAAATACACACAACCGAGGAATCTTGAGGAAAAACATTGCTTAGAGAAACAAATCAAGAACATATGCAAGTTGGTGTTTAAGGACATGAAAGTTGAAGAATAAACACCTTTTGAAGATTTTGTGGAAATCACCAGAATCAACAAGGGCAGTAAAAACAGATTTTATTTACCCTTGACGAAGAACACGATGAACTGAGAGTAGAAGTTGAAAAGATCATCTGTTCAGATCTTCCACGCCCTACTTGGTGGTGGAAGACATCTACGGCAGTGGCAGAGTGAAGATTTCCGCGGCCGGCGCGAGTACGACGGTGACGAGGTCGAGGCAATGAAGCTCTTCCTCACAGACGATGATGGAAGGTAGCGGCAGTGCTAGTTCACAGAGCTCGAGCAAGGGGAGTGAGATCGAGCGGAGTAAATGAGGTCTGAGGAGGGTGAGGGGTATTTATAGCTGAAGTGAAAAGCCGCTCGTTCGAGGAAAATGGACGAATGTGCCCCTAACCCTTCCCATCCTAGCGACATGTGTCACCCATGTACTGTGAAGTGGAGATCGTGTTAGATCATGGGTGAATAGATTAATCTCATCATGGGATGCGGAATGGTTTGAGCGGCAAAAGCCAAAAAATCAAATAAGAATATTTTAATATTTCGTTCGCAAATTCTTTAGCTGACAAGGACACAGTGAAGATTTTGAACGGGTTTCAAATAGAACGCACATGAAGAATTTGTGAACATACTGGTTTGAGTTAGCATAGAGGGGGAACGGGTCCGATCACATTCACTTAGAAGAAAAACCAATTTGAAGAATTAGCAATAAGTGAATGTTGTAGAGGACATGAAAACTCATATATATATATATATATATATATATATATATATATATATATATAGGGCGGGTCTATTATGATAACACCCCTTAAGACCTTATTCTGATAACACTTAGTCTTATTCTGATAACACCCGTCGGACTAAGGCCTTGTACAATGGGAGGTGCTTAGAGAGATGCTTAGAAAAATAAACCGAATTTTTCTGAAGCACCGATGCCTATTTCTATAGGAGACTATCCTGTACAAATAAGCACCGGTGCTTAAGAAAAGTCTGGTTTATTTCTTTAAGCACCCCATCTAAGCACCTCCCATTGTACAAGGCCTAAGCCACCCTATAGCTGACCAAACGGGCCGGCCCGGCACGACACGGCCCGGCCCGTGCTAAACGTGCCTGGCACGGCCCGGCCCGTGACGGCACGAATACTAGCCGGGCCGTGCCGTGCCGGCCCACGGGCGGGGGGGCGCAGCCCAGGCACGGCACGCGGCATAGCTGGGCCGGCACGCGGCCCGCCCAGGCACGCCGGCCCGCTTGGCGCTAGCTGGCCCGCCTGGCCTGGCGCTCGCAGTCGCCGCTCGCTACGGGCTGCGCGCTGGCACGCTGCATCGCTGCAGTCGCCTGGCACGCTGCATCGCTGCAATTTTCCCTCGCTGCCACACAGTTACACACTGCACGCTGCACTATACTACCAAATACTAGTCTAAGCGAGATGCGAAAAAATGTCGAAAAAATACCCAAAAAAATATAGAAAATTGCAAAAAAATGTAGAGTATTATGTGGGATAAATCTAGAGTTTTATTAACGCTTGCCTCATTAAAACCTTCCATCCCAAAGAAGTAAAAGAGTATAAACTATGCTCTAGAAGTACTAAAAGATTAAAAGAAGTAGAAATAAAAAGATTACAAGACTAGAATTGAACTAAAAAAATTACAAGACTGGAACTAAACTAATTTGGATCGTTCATCCTTGCCCGGCAGCCGCGGCCAGCTCGTCTCTCTTGATGTGTACTGCTCTGTGCCTAGTAAGGATGTTTACTGGACCGTGGCAGGCAATGCGCATCAACTTACCACATCTTTTGCACCGTGCTTTTAGCTCAGATTTTCTACCGTCCGTAACTACTTCAGCATCGTAGTAGTCCCAGATTTTGGAGCCTCTCCCATCCATGTTTGTATTGTGTGTGTAAAATGAGATGCAGTTTGAGACTTTTGAGTGTGAGAAATGAGAACTTGAGAAGGGCCGGCATCCCTTTTTATAGAAAGAAGATGTCACGTTAGGCACGCTAGGCATGTTAGGCACGTTAGACGGTTAGAGTATTATGTGGGATAAATCTAGAGTTTTATTAGCGCCGGCCTCATTAAAACCTTCCATCCCAAAGAAGTAAAAGAGTACAAGCCATGCTCTAGAAATACTAAAAAATTAAAAGATAGAGAAAGAAAAAATAATACAAATACTACAACGGACTAATTGGATCCTTTCAACCTTGCCCCGCAGCCGCAGCTATAGCCGCCGCCTCGGCTGCTTTGACGTGCGTCGTCTTGTGCCTCATCAGGTGGCCGGTTCCAGCATACCTGCCATCATCTAGGTGCACACTCAACTTCTTACCGCATTCTTTGCACTTTGCAAAAAGCTTGGTCAGACCTTCGTCATTTGTAACGGATTCTTCATCATAGTACCTCCAGATGGGACTAGGTTGTCTCCGAACAATGTTTTGAAGAGGAGCAGCCATGTTTGTGTATGGAAAATGAGATGGAGTTTGAGTGTGAGAGATGAGAAAGTGGGCATCCCTTTTTATAGGAAAAAAATGTAACGTTAGGCACGTTAGGCACGTTAGGCACGACAGCAATAATGCATCCCTGGGAAAAAGTTAAGGCAATGTAATAATGTATCATTTGGGATAAATGTTGAGCTTTATTAGTGGCTGCCTCATTAAAACCTTCCATCCCTGGGAAGTAAAAGAGTACAAAGCCATGCTCTAGAATTACAAAAGGGAAAGAAAATTACAAAATGATAAGAAAATGACTACACTACAAGTCTTCGACTAATCTTCCGGGTCTTCTTCAAAGTTCATTTCTTCAAACATGGCAAGTAGTTCTGTGTTTTCTGCAGTGTGTTGCGCTCTCCTTCTTGATAACTCCCCATCTTTGACGGACATCAGTGTTCTCACCATATCTGGGGCGAGACTAGTTCTTCTCTCCTCAATTATTCTTCCAGCAAGGCTGAAAGCTGACTCCGACACCGTAGAAACAGGCACCGATAACACATCACGTGCTAATATGGAGAGCACAGGAAATGTAAGCTTGTGTTCTTGCCACCACTGTAGTAAGTTGAAGTCTTCCTCACTATCTAAATCGTACATGACTTTGTCACTGTTGAGGTACTTCGCTAACTCCCCGCCACCTTGAAGCACAGATGTTGACGTGGAAGAGCTTCCGGCGGTTGAGGAGGATGAAGAACCAAAGATCTTGCTCCATGCTCCTCTCTTTTTACCTGCAGTAGGTGCTGGTGGAGGTCGTTGCATTCGAACTCCGGCATATTTTTCCTCATACTTAGCAAAAACTTCAAAAAGCTTCTCACGAGCCTTATTGAAGTCGTCAGTATAATCTAAACTTAGGGATGCAGATAGTACATTGAGTGCACTACGATACCCTTCAAGTTTAGCTCTAGGATCTAAGATAAATGCAAATGCATACAACAGTGGAATTTGCTGCCAATATTTTAAATACTTGGTTTTCATGTCAGCAACAACATTAAGTAACAATGCATCCCCTTCATATGCTTTTAGATGACTAGCAATGTCTAATAGGGTATGCACCATCAAAGGAGATGTCGGGTAATAAACCCCAGACAAAGTAACTGTTGCATCATAGAACAACTCAAGAAATGCAGTCAATGCTGTAATAACGTGCCAAGTTTCTTCGCTAATTAGAGGTTCAACCCCATAATTTGCATTAATAAAGCCATTCAACTGAACTCTGTCTCGGATAACTGCCTTAAGCATCAAATATGTAGAGTTCCATCTAACAGGCATGTCTGAATTATACTTATGAGGAACGCACCCTATAGCAAGACAATATCTCTTATAGTTTGTAATTCGTTGAGTTGAATGCGAAAAATAAGATATTGCAATGCGTATGACTTCAACATGTGGTTCACATAAATGTAACGCACTTTTAGCAATAAGATTAATGATATGGCAAGCACAACGTTGATGCATTAAAAAGGATGCATCATATATGGAGAATATAGGAGTCAGAGTATTCATTGCACTCGTGTTTGCTGAAGCATTATCCAAAGTTATTGAAAAAACCTTGTCGGCAAGATTAAAATCGTTCACAACTTTTAGTATAGCTTCAGCAATGTTCGGACCACTATGTGCTACATCAATTAATTCAAATCCTATAACTCTTTTTTGTAGATGCCAATGTTCGTTAACATAATGAGTTACCACACTAATGTAGTCTTGCTTTGCCCGACCAGTCCAGATATCAGATGTTAACGACACTGAAAAAGTGCACGTAGAAAATTCTTCTTTTATTTTCTCTTTATCAGTTTTGTATAGCTTTTTAATATCCCTACTTGTAGTTTGTCTAGAAACTGGTCTATAATTAGGATTATGACAAGTTTGAATATATTCTACGAAACCATCAGATTCACCAAAACCTAGTGGTAAATCATTAGAAGCAATAAGACGGCATAGACCTTCTCGCTGAACATTAGCATCGTAGGTGAAATTGCGTACCGTACCGTCAGGGTTGAAGGAGAGCTGCGTTTGCACAGCTGCCGAGCCCGACGCGCTCTTTCCATCCGCCTTGGCGTGGCTTTCCACATGCCTCTTTAGGTGGCCGGTTCCTCCCTTGGCTTCTCCGGTATACTCCTTCTTGCACCTTTTGCACCTTGCAACCACCCTCCGGACACCGTCCACCACGGAGATTTCTTCATCGAATGATTCCCACACCGCGGAGGTTCTACGACGACCTCTTTGCTTTACACCAACGGTGGTGGAGGAACCCGTCCCACTACTCGAATTGGTGTGACCATCGGCTTCGGCACTCGGATCGGTATGGGGTTCAAGAGTGTGATGATCGGTATAGGCAGGTTGCTCGGGTGGGGGCATGGTATAGGCATGTTGCTCGGGTGGGGGCATGGTAGTGTGATCGGTGCTACTAGGGTAGAGACTATACTCCATATCCCCAAGACCGAAATCGGAGAGTGGGAAGCTAGTATTGTCATGGTCATCCATGTTTGAGTGTGAGAAATATGTGGGCTGGGCAGCCCTATTTATAGCAAAAAATTGGTCATTTTTCGGACAAATTTGACCCTCTAACGATCAAATTTTCAAATATATGAATTTTCTTACACAAATATCCAAACCATATCCTAAACCACTCTAAACCAACCCTAACCTCCCTCTAAACCCCTCCCAACGGCCGAGCGAACCCCCCCCCCCCGCTCCCCCATCAATCG